AGCAAGATACTGAAGCTTGGCCCAGTGGGAGATTCCTCCATCCACACAGTTTAGCGTAGATGGAGGAATTTGTTGCACTTTCTCCATCTGACCATTGAAAATATGCAGATAATCGATAGGTGTATGGCCAGCTTAACTGTATATACATTTAAAATGTGTGTGCCAATGGATGATAACCTGTTTTCAGTCATTCTTCAGTCATTCTAGTCTATGCATTGGCTGACTGAACACCTGTAACTGTGAAAACAATGCACTTCGAATGCGCCCGATATGTCATACCTACAGTTGTCAAGCAGGTAATTGTTGTAAAAGCCAAGCTAACCTGGTCTCTACATTAAATAAAAAAACTCCATAACATTATGATTAATAATAAAAAAACAAGCAGTTGCAAAAGCCAGCAATACAGCTACAGCAACCCACACTTACGTGTTAGCAATAGCAATTTCTGACAGTGTGCTTGCTAACGTGCATGCCGTGACTGTTGACGGAGTGTTTCGGTTCTGCACAAACTATTGGCTCCTCCGCACATTACTCCAGTATCCCAGCTCTGCACCGCCCACTGTGACAGTATACTCAATCTGCACCCCTCTCGACCCTAACCCATTTGCCCCCACTGCACCGACATGCACTTCCCAACTTGACAGCATTGCCAACTTTGCCACCACCCCACTTGCCCTCCTGTACATTTTCTCATTTACTGACACTCCACCAATGCACACTTCCCCATTTGCTTCCATTGCACCAACATGCACTTCCCCACCACTGCACCTTTGTGTACTTTATTTCACAGCCACCACACTGATACATAATTACACACTCACTGTCTGTGCACCAAGGTGCACTTTCCCATTTGCACCGAGTTGCCGCCAATGTTACCATTTACTACCAAGTCAGTGACATGCACTTCCCCACTCTGTCACTGTATTGACACTCACTTCCCTGCTTAGTCCCTGCACATCCCCACCTCTGTACTGGCTTGCACTTCTGTATTTATCCTGTTCAATGAACAGGCACAATTTTGCTGGCTGAATCTAAAGCAAAAAGTTCCAACATGCTCCACTACATGTGGAGCTTCATTTACGTCTTTGTATGCCAACGGTTTCCATCGACTCTAATACTACAGTCCTCTCATGGGCTCCCCTTTTCATTTCTATGTAGTAGTCATGCAGTTGTGCTTGCTCATTGCAGCATACACACTAGAAATTCCTTTTCTTGAAGTCTATTGAAGGGACACTAGAAGTTTAAAACATTAGGGTTATACTGTCACTAACAGGAGGATTGGACAATGGCAAACAAAAACAACTATAGGCCAGCCCAGGCTAAAAACCCTCCTACAACAAAGCAGGCTTCACTTTTGTAATAAAGCAGTACCAAGAGCCATAAGGAATAAGAAAAAGTACAATAAAAGTATGAAAAGAAAAACACTTTCATCATTGGAAAGTTGCAAATAATAGAACAAATGATATAAAAATATTAAAAACGAAAGACAGGTTGCAAAAGGGAGCAAGACAAAAAAAATTATATAAACATTAAATACAATGGTCTGTCTGAGCCACCTAGAGATGTAAAACGAGAAGCCGGAGTGTCTTAACAGGACTGATAAGCAAGAGGAAAGGAGTCTTCCTCAAAGAAGCAGTGGCTGAGAGATATCCCAAACCACATCCAAACAATGAGCAGACATTACCCTTTTGTGAACTGGAGCCAAGAGACAGAAAAACAATGTCCCGATTAAAGTGGAAAGCAGAGACTACCTTGGGAAGGAACCACAAAAGGTTCCTTGCGAGACACTTCCCTGCCAAAGTGACATCCACAATAAATAGAACCTTAAGGAGTAGAAGGAAGAATATCAGATTTAGAAGGTTCTAAAATGTAGAAAAAAACAAACAGATTCAAATCCCATGGGGACAAACTGGATAGGACTGGAAGACCAGCTTCAGAAATTGTCTTAAGCAGAAAACTCAATGCCCTCAGAAATAGAGGCCGAACCTGAGCTTCAACAGCCATGCTAGTAACCAAGAAGGAGGTAAATCAGTCTTTGGGACAGCTGATCCAGGTCATCTGGCAGAGCCTACAGTACATCTACCAGAAGTCTTACCGGGTTGGGCTAACAAATCTACCTGGGCCAATCCAGAGCAATGAGGATTACCAGAATGCCTTCTATGTGGCTACTGCGGAGCAGAGGAAGAAGAAGCCAGTTGGTTAAACAAGAGACAGCCAGATCACCCAAAGTTCCAAAATGTTGTTTTGGCAAGAGGAGATTCCTCCAACAACCAAGTCCCTTGCACTGACAAGGCAGTCAGGACTCACCCTCACCCCCAGCCTGTAGTCGGGATTCCCCAGATTCTGGGGAGAAGTGACTTTCCCAGAGAGAGAACCAACTTGTCCCATGAGAGCAGGATATTGAACTGTAAAAGGTCTGAAGTGGAATTGGGCAAAAGGGAACTGCCTTGAAGGAGACCATCAGCCCCAAGACTCTAATGCAAAAAGGAAGGGTAGGGTGGCTTCTAGATCAAAGAACACAGACATGAGACCATAGTGTGAAGATTCTCTAAACGAACAAACAATCTGTCTCAGATACTCCAAGAATGAATCTGTCAGTTTTCTGTAAGCTATATCTGAACCTCTGCAAAATTTTAGCTTGTAGCCCAAAATATATCACCATCTGCACCCAGGCATTGGGAATGCAGGCCATCCAGTAGGCCACAAGGGTCAACAGAGGTCCCCCCATTCTAGTGCACCTTCAGGTTGAGGACTTTTGGTGGATTTGGCAGCTTTCAAGTGCCAGACCTTGTGGTTGAAAGGAGAGCAGAGGCCCAGCTGAAACAAAAGGTATGCTTCATGGCAGGGACCAATGCAGATGACTTTGCAGTCTGCTCCTTCAGCTTTTTTTGATGAGAAGTTTATTTTTTTACATTTTGCCTCCAGTAGCATCCTTGCTGAAAGCATCCAGAGCCGGTCCAAAGAGACATTATCTCTTGAAGGCCATGTGTATTAAATGCTTGCAAGAAACTTCCAAAGCTCAACACTTTAGCCAAAGGGCCTATGCATATGGCCATCACAGCTTAATTGTATGCCACAGCACATCACACAATGATTGGAGGGTCAATGGAAGCAGCAGCAAGATCCGCTTTAAAGAATTTGGACAGATCACACATGGTTTGGCAAAGAAAAAATTACAGCCAAGATCAGGTGTTAAGACAGGACTTGCCAAAAAGGATCATCAATAGGCCTCAATCCACTTATTAGTTGGGTCCCGAAACGCAACTTCCTCCACGTGTATGGTAGTCACCAGATCCACAATGGGAACCGACCACTTTTGAAGAAAATCCTCACTAAGCAGGCGCAAACATAGCAAACAGCCTTTCAGGGAGTTTCCAATCCTCAAACAAAAAAAACTGGAAGAGCAGGTGCAAAGGGTATGTCACAGCAGCTTTATGAGTCCCGTTTGACCTTCCATTGCTAGACGACATGACTGACGTTGGATTTACATCGGGTGACAATTTATGTTTTTTTTAATAAAGGACATTATCTAAAAATTGTCTTTGTTTACATTTTATTTTTGAACGAGTAACAAACGGTACCACGTACCCTATACTTATTGACATGGGGGGAGGGCTGGATACCTGAGGGGGGGCCCTTACTTTAAAAAGGGAGCTTTCTGATTCCAGTAAGTCCCCTTCTCCCCTACAGACCTTCACATCCAACGGGACAGGGGCCTATTACGGATTGGGGAAGGGGATGAGGGCATCCAGGCAGCATTTTCAGATAACCCCTCATAATTCATACCAGACCATTATAGCAAGGAAAGGGGGGACCACCCATCCCTGTCACACCAGACAACATGCCCTGAAAAGAAAAAAATGGTGGCGTCCTCCCCCCAAAATCCATCCCAGGTCCTTATCCAAGCATGCAGTCTGGCGGGCCAGGACAGGGAGTGAAACCTTTAAGACCCAAAGCCAGAAACAGCAGGCTGATGCTCTAGCTTTATGTCTAAGTGGAGAGCATGCTGGAGATACCCAACACAGTATGACTTAACTCTCCTGCCCAGAGCAGATGAGACCCAGGAAGTGTGGAGCTGGTCTGCACTGCCTCTGAGGTCTGTGTTTGGCTACAAGAGGGAGGAGGACCCATACAGTATTTTTAGGACATACATTCAGCTGTTATTTCCGCAGTAAAATATAGAATACAAAAAAAAAGTGTTGTAAAGATACTTTCTTACCTTTAATGCTACAAGTAGAGTCACCGTTTCCACAGAATAATATCCTCTGTCCACATAGTCCCCCATGAACAAATAGTTGGTATCTGGGGATTTCCCTCCAATTCTGAAGAGCTCCATGAGGTCGTGAAACTGGCCATGCACATCTCCACAAACTGTTACAGGACATCTTACATCTTGCACATTTGACTCTTTTGTAAGGATTTCTTTTGCCTGCGGATTACAAGGGTTACACTAAGTATAAAACACATTTCAACTAAAACAATGGATCCTTTTGTAACACGTTCATTTTGCTAAATCAGTGTTAAAAAAAGTACCAACAGTGAAGATGGTGGCATTTTTGGCTTACAGCTCTCCAGACATTCAATATCCATTTGAAACCACAAAGAAATATATACAATAAAGAATAAAATGCCTTGTTTACTCTACTCTAAAATGTCTTATTCTTTAATATTCTTTTTTGCAGCAGTCCCATGTCACAACTGTCATTGTGCTAGGGCCGTACATGTTCATACCTGGTCACATTTTCGACTGAAACAAGGAGTGTATTTCAGTATGAGTTTACATTCACTAACAAATTATAGCGTGAGGTAGAATTCAAAGAATATACTAACGAAAAGATGAGGATGTGCAAAGTGTAGTTACCCAGAGAAACAAGAAACAATATGCTAGTACGTTGAAAGTTAGAACACTCCAGTCAGAGCTAAAAATTATCCAATGCATCCAGGGGGCATATAAAACCCATGATCAATAAGACTGGATTTACAATGCTATGTGAGCATGTGTGGTAAGCATGTGTGGTATGTAAATTAGCTTATATAATTTATCTGAACCAGCAATAGTGAACCAGCAATGCATTTCCATGCAGCAAAATGCATGAGTTTTGCGGCATCAAAAACAGGCAAATGTGAATAGGCCCTAAATAACATGTATTCGATAAAATACCATCACTGAAGGTCCGATTGTTCCTTTTGTTCTACTTTTAGCACTATACACTGAACAGTCATCACTGCAGAGACTGCTTGTTCCTGGATATTTGCCTGTGGGCTTTTAGATGCATAAGAAATAATGCATAAATCAATATTGTAAATGCTGTAAATTCAGCAGATCCCTGCGATAATTTTTTTTAGTAAACAGAAAAAAAAAAAAAAAATAGCAAGAAAGCAGCAGAAAAACAAACATACACACTTTAAAATTAGGGGTGCACCGATACCGGTTTTTCGGTACTCTCCAATACTGAGTACCAATACTAGTACCTCCTGTAGCATAGAGCCGGGAGGCACATTATCGTTCTGTACTCGATGATACCAAGTACCGATACCGGTACTTCCGCTAGCATAGACCTGGCTTCCCAGCCAATCACCATTGAGCCGGCCAATGAGCATTGAGCCGGCTACCCGGGCAATCAGAAAGGCATGTCATTAACCACCGCCCGGCTTCTTGATTGGCCGGAAAGCCAACTCCATGCTGTTTGGTCGGCTTGATGCCAATTGGCTGAGAAGCCGGCTTCCCGGCCAATCAGCATCGAGCTGGCTTCCTGGCCAATCAGGAAGCGGTCACCATGTTCCCTCATGGCACTGCTGGTCAGAGGAAATCTCCCTCTGACCAGAAGTTCCAGTATCGGTGATAAGTATCAGAGCATTTGGGCGAGTACTCATACTCGCCCAAATGCTCGGTATCGGTGCATCAATACTTAAGATGCTTTACTCTCTCATCCACCCAAAGACATAGGAAGCCTTTCACGTTTGTTTTATGCTGCCTACAGGACTGCACACAGCATTGTAATAGCAGCTCACTGCTGCCGCTTTGCTTTGGCTCTTTGCAAAACAGCCACAAGGAACTCTGTTCTTCAATCCATTCCTGCTGTCGGCCATAAGTGACTGGTAATTTTTAGCCATCGGAGCCTCATTTTCTGGGTATCAGGAGTACCTGAGACCTTGCCTTGTACCCTTAACCTAAATTGCCTTGGTGTTACACTGTTGCAACATGTCTGATTTTAGACACAAGAGGGACAGACCCGCTGCAATTGGTGCCCTTAGCTCACACTAACAGCTCCAGGATGGCTTGCTGTGCAGTGCTATTTCCAATCCTGGGTCTTTTAGAGCCCTAGTGCCACAAAAACCTTCTCATTGGCCCTGCTGCACTTACTCTTTCTCCATGAAGATTCAAAACTTTACATGTTACTCTCTCCCCTCAAATGCTTATTAGACTTAAAGTCTTTGGGTGTGGGGAGGTGGTGGGCTTTGTACATAAGTGGGCTACTGTGGATACGGCAGTGTCCCATCTTAAATCGACAACCATACCAGTAAAGGATGCACTTTAAGTACCCAACTGATACGGAACTGAAAGCCATTTCTAGAACATGGTTCTCGCTGGCCGGTCCTGCTCTTTACCCTATCCTGGCTTTGACTCATCAAAATCCCTTAAAAAGACATCTAACCGCTGCTGCAGTTGAACCCTCACTTATAGAACACACAGAGCAAAACAGCTGTAGCATTAAACTTGTGTTTTTCTTCTGCATGTGTAAGGTACTTTAAAGTGCTGAGCTGCAAAACCCACTCCTAAACAGCATATGGTCTGCATTGCCTTTAACCACTCGCTGACCTCGGTGTTTACTCCCTCTTCCTGGCCAGTGGAGTTTTTCAGTATTCAGCGCTGCGGTACTTTGACTGACATTTATTCCGTCACGGAACGCTGTACTGAAATGAGTTTTATACCAAAAAAGAAAGGACAGCTTTCTTTTGGTGGTATTTAAATCACCACTGGGGTTTTATTTTTTTACTATATAATAAAAATGTACCGAATATTTTTAAAACAAAAACAGTTTTCCCTTTATTATAACCCAATTTTAGGTAAAATATAAAAGACTGGGTCATGACGGGTAAATAGAGAGTCCATGGTCACGTCGCACTCCTGACCGCCAAATACCTTCAAGAAGCTGGTGCTGCGGTAGTCAACCGGTGGCATACGTTATGGTCACAGGTAGAAGAAGACACCTGCACTCCAGGTTGATAAATAAACGTCTATTTATTGACGTGCAGTGTAGCAAATAGCAACGAACGTTTCGAAGTCACAAAGGATCCCCTTCCTCAGACGTTTATTTATCAACCCAGAGTGCCGGTGTCTCTGCTTCTACCTATGACGGTTAAATAGACACCAAACATGTGAAGCCTTAACATTGCGCGCGCCCGGGAAATCGCAAATCTACCATAGCCAAAACTGGCCATAGCCGACGCTTTCAAAGATTTTACCGCTCATAAGTTTAGTGTTTTCAGTGATTGATGGCCCTAAAATGATTGCTCTCACTGAGACGTTTGCGGCGATGTGCAACACGTGCGGCGTAATTGGTGCAATCGTCGTTTTTGTGTGTAGGCGCACCCAGCGCATTTTGCACATCTATGTGGGGGAGGGGACTGTAAAAAAACATTGTGGGTTTTTTTTTTGTGTGTGTAAATTTTACTTATTTTGTGGGCAATTTTTTTTTTTACACTTACTTTATTGTCATCACATATCGGGGATAAAAATCCCCCTATGTCATATCATATTACAGTGACAGGTCCCCTTTATGGAGACATCAGGGGTCTCCAAGACCCCTGTCACCTACAGACCCCCAGAGAAGCTGAAGCACAGATCTGCTTCACCAGCTTCTCTCCGGTTTCTGTAACGGAGAGTGACAAAGGAATACGGAAGTGATGTAGTAAACATCACTTCCAGCATTCAGAGACCGGGGAGAAGAGTGGAGGGAGATCGTGTACTGATCTCCCTCTGTTCTCCTTGCACGGAGCCACACTGCCGGTCCCGGATCGGCTGCCCGGGAACGCGGGGATGGCGACCACGAGAAGAGGAGGGGGCACAAAGACTTGCATCATACAAGCGATGCCGGACTGCTTGTATGTAAACGGCCGTTGCGGGCCATTTAAAATTCTGGCGGTTTCTTGCTCGTGCGCGTCTTCGACTGGCCCTGGGCCTCCCCTTTTTTTGCTTTGCAAGTGTCCAATCCTCCCGTAGGAGGCAGTTTAACTCAGAGGTGAAATACTTTCTGTGCCCCTCCCCTCAATAGACGCCAAAAAAAAGCATTGTACGCTGAGAAAAATAAAAAAAAAAAAAAAAAAAAAAAAAAAAGGAGCAGCAGAAGAAACAGAAAAAAAGACAAAAGGAAAGAGTGGAGTCTTCCTATCACCGCTTTCATAACACAAAACACAGCACCATTTTTTGGTCAAGGCCAGTGACAGACTGTTTTGTATATGTCATTTTTTTATTTTGCTAATAAATTAATTTAATGTCTAATTGAGTAAACATTGACAGTATTTGGGCATTCAGTTTATTTAGTTAGCAAACACTGCAGCTAACAAAACTATATTAGACTAGAAGTATATGTAACCCTAATCACTAAAATCTTAGGCCCCATTCACACTGCGCAATTTGCAAATTGCGCGTTTGTTGCGCGATTTGTATTTTGCGCGCAAATCGCGCGATATCGCGCAAATGCTTGCATTGAGCAAGCGAGAATCGCGGCAAAATCCGCTCCAAAAAGGGTCCTGCTGTAGCGACACACGACCCGCGATAGCAGGACCCTTTGCCCCATTGAGATGCATTGAAGAGCGATATCAGCAGGGTTTCAAGGGAAAAAAAAAAAATGTTAAAAATGCATGTATTTTTCCCCGTTTTTTTTGGACATACACCTTAAGGCTGGGTGTACGGATTATGCGCGTTTGACACGTGTTTTTACCGCGATTTGCGGTAAAAGAAACGTGCAAACGCGCCTTTACGAGGGCTATCCGGCTGTATCCTAATGGATACGTGCGGCAAATACGCCCCAAAGAAGCTCCTGTAAAACGCCCAGGTGGGAACCATGCCCATAGGCAATTATTGGTTTTCACATGTTGAGCGTTTTACAGCGCGTAGGAAAGCCAGGCCTTAGAAAGCTCTTAATGTGTGTGCCAATATGTGCACCACCTATTTATCAAGCTCACACACACAAATATTTAAAATATGCTGGAAAGCCAATATAAAACATACCAAGAAAAATGTAATCCTCTTTTGGAATGAGCAAAACATATTAAGCATTTCAAGTTGAAACAAAAAGAAATCAGGCTGAATAAATGTTCATTAGGCCCCATTCACACCTAGGCGTATTGTAATATGCGCGTCTGTCGCGCGGTAAAAAGTCACGCGATTCCGAAGGCTACTTGGCTGTATCCCAATGGAAAACGCCCTACAAAACGGCCCAAAGTAGTCCCGGGACCTTTTCAGGCGTGGGCCGTTTTGTAGGGCGTTAGGGACGGGCGGAAATACGGCAAGGTGGGAACGAGGGCATTGACAATGCAATTTATATTTTTGACCGTTTTGTAGAGCGTTCGTCGAGTGTAGAACGCCCTACAAAACGGTCAGGTGTGAACGAGGCCTTATAGTTAGAACAGAGATGGTCAAAAATGTTTCTATATTGTGGGTGACTATTAAAATCATGATGCTGCCACAAAAAACTGTCTTGTCTAAATTGTACAACATTGGATGGGAAAAAAAGAGTTTCTCTCCAAACTACAATAAATTTGGGAGGCCCAGTCAGGGAGAGTGGTTAAAGAGCTGCAGCATCAAAGATAAGATACCACAGTCAAAGTTCCAGATAGAAAGAAAGACTTGTGAATTGGGCTTTGTGGCCCAACATACACTGCTCATTCAGCTGTGAATGCCAGGGTCAAAGTCCCTTTCAGCCATAAACTACGGTATTTGGAAATTAAAAAGTTATTACCTTCAACAATAAAAACACCATATCAGGTTACAAAGTCACAAACAAT